GTCGGACTTTTTTAGCTTATAGCGCAAAAAATAAAAAAAATGCACAGGTTATCAAATACCACCGAAAGAAAGCTCTATTCATGGGAAAAAATGGACGTAAATTTCATTTGGGTGCAGCGTTGCACGACCGAGCAATTGTCAGTTAAAGTAACGCAGAGTCATAACACAAAAAACGACCTGGTTAGGAAGGGGGTAAATCCTCAGGAGGGCAAGTGGTTACAATATTTTTTTCCTGCAGGAACTCATATATGTTGTTTTCTATTAAACTCTTCAGTATCTCCCCAACTATAGAAGTCAAACTAACAGATCTATAATTACTTGGTAAAGATTTTGACCCCTTTTCCCTTTGGCTGGAGATCTTGCCAGTAAGCACCTCCTGTTTCAGGCTGACAATGCTAAACCAATGCTCTAATTCAGCAATGGGCAAACTACGGCCCGCGGGCCGTATACAGCCCGGCGGACCTTTTAATCCGGCCCGCGGAGCGTGATACATTGGCTGTCAGGATGTGTGTAGGCGGGGCAGCGTGACGAACGTGAGGGGAGCTAGGCTCCACTCACAGTCCGCCCTGAAGACCGGAACGGCGCGGGAACACGGCGAGAGGAACGCGCGGAGCAAAGGTAAGTGAATTGACACAGGGGGGACTTGGCTTACTACTTGGGGGGGAATAGTACTATGGGGGATGAAATAATATGGGGAATGAATTACTATAGGGGGGATGAATTACTATAGGGGGGATGAATTACTATATGGGGGATGAATTACTGTAGGGGGGATGAATTACTATAGGGGGGATGAATTACTATATGGGGGATGAATTACTATATGGGGGATGAATTACTATAGGGGGGATGAATTACTGTGGGGGATGAATTACTATAGGGGGATGAATTACTATATGGGGGATAAATTACTATATGGGGGATGAATTACTATGGGGATGAATTACTATATGGGGGATGAATTACTATGGGGGATGAATTACTATGGGGGATGAATTACTATATGGGGGATGAATTACTATATGGGGGATGAATTACTATATGGGGGATTAATTACTATGCTTACTATGGGGGAATATTACTATACTTACTATGGATGACACATACACATCATTCATCTACTCTTGGTCCGGCCCCCGGGTCCAATATATGAACCCATTGCGGCCCTCAAGTCAAAAAGTTTGCCCACCCCTGCTCTAATTGATGGGTAGAAGTCTTCAGAGCACAGACATGAGGTATACAGTACTATGCAAAAGTTCAACTGATGACCTTCGGGGGCTTTTCAGATGCCGCCTATAAAATATATAGCATGCCAAAGTCTATCAAACATTTTTTTTTGGAAGCATGCAAATTAAAAGCTTGGCATGTTGGGTATCTATTTACTCAGCTAAACTTCATCTTTTGTATTTTACCAAAAACTTGGGAAAAATATTGCATTTTTGTGTCCTAAAAGTAATTGTAATGTATATTTGTGACTGAAATTTTGCATGTGTTAAATCATTGCATAAATAATAAAAACTAACAATATTTTATTCTCTGGGGTCTCTGCTTTCAGAATATATCTAAGGTTCGGGGGCTTTAACTAACCTTGGGCATTAAATGATTTTTGAAATGTGTGCAGAAAAAAACAAAACCGCTTCTGCGAAAGGGTTAAAGTGTTCAGACTTATCAGAAGCCACTTACTTGCTGCACATACCTTTTATTATGTCACATGTTTCCTATAATATTTATGAAGTAGTTAGTGGTAGACCTCTGAAGTCATGTACCTGCTCACACTTTCGTACATGAAGATCAGCCCTGTAAGCAGATGGCAGTGTATAAACTTTACTGCACACGTTGGCTTAAAAGCCCTTTGTGGAAAGAACATTCCTTTCTCTTCACTCTGTGTCTCATAGCAGAGTATATATATATATATATATATATATATATACTGCTTTTAGTTTATTATCTTGTGGCCATGTTTTGAAGATATAGAGAAATGAAAAGTTTTAGTTTCCTTCTATGTGTTTCAGTGAAATGTTTTTTCAATGAGGAAGTTTTGTTTATTACTGTTGTATAGGATTTAGGTGTGTTGGACAGCTGCACCATAACTACAAGTAAGGCTACGTTCACACTAGCCTTATTAGCAAGCGGCAGACAGGCGTTTGGGAAGCGTTTTTACCATTTCCCAAACTCCTGGGAAAATTCTGCACATTGCAGTACATGGTGCTGTTCAAACGGGAGCGTTAGCGTCACGGCAAAATGGACGCCTCTGGTCGAGTCAGGAGGAGTTGAAGCCTCCCATTCAAGTCTATGGTGCCGCTCTGCAAACGCCTGGGCCGGCGTTTGTGGTGCAGTTGCGACACGGTTGCAAGGTGTTTGCGGAGTGTTACCACCATTCAAACTTCATTATAGGCATTTGTGGGGCGTTTTTTAATGCTTGGCAAATGCCTATCAACCCCCGCCGCTAAGCAGCGCATGCAGCATTTGCGGAGCGCTAAAAACGCTCCGCAAATGCCAGACCAACGCTTGTCAAACGCTATAGGGGCGTTTGGCAAGAGTTGGAAAAACAGTCAAGTGTGAACGAGCCCTCAAGGCAAGGGGACTGCCTTTAATCCTTTTGCTGCCAGAGCCATTTTTTTATGCACTTTTTTTTTACATGAAATGGCACTTAACCTCCCTAGCGGTATTCCCGAGTGTAGCTCGGGGTAAAATGTCAGTGCCAAAAGCGGTAACCCCGAGCTACACTCGGGCTTACCATGCGGCGCTGCATAGGGAGTCCCTGCAGAGCTTACCTTGTCCTTCGCTCCCGCGATGTGTCCCCTGCAGCGTTCCCGGCCATCTCCTCCGGCCAATGCCGGCATCCAGCTTCCGTGTTCCGGTCTCTGTGACGTCGGGATGTACGGGCGCCGTCAGCGGCGGGAAATTTTAAAATTTTAAAAAATGTAATTTTTTTTCCAAACAAATTTTACATAGTAAAACATTGCTGTTTCAACCCATTTCACATACATTTTGTCCCGAGTGCTTTGTCCTGTGCCCTGCCTGCATTTTGTCTGTTCTTTCTGCCTGGAAACTGAGAAACGTCCATGGCGTCCAAAAAGTGTCCCTTTAGGTCAAAAGCGGGTTTCAAATTTTAGACCAGCTAGAGAACAGCGATAGAAAATCAGAATCACTTGCAGAATTGAGTGATAATGATTTGTGGGGAAATTCGTCATCAGACACTGAAAATGATTTTGCGACTTTGCTCAGTGATGTGCGAACTTGGCGCTATATTTCAAATGTCAGTGTTTTTGGTTTGATTATATTATTGAATTAAATGTATTATTATTATATTATTATTTTTTATGATTATTTATTAAATTATAATTTATGATTTCGTGTTTCAAATTTTATCCTACCCGGGATGTTTACTAGACTCTTGTTCGGACAGATTTCAGTGAGTTATTCCTAAATATTACAGCCTACAATAAAAAAAACTACATATTTCCATGCAAAATAATGGTACCGCTTTCAGCACCAAAAATCAGAAATAATCATACCGCCGGAGAGGTTAAACCCCAAAATATTATATTTTTTTTCTGAACACAAAATACCTATAGGATAGAATTATAACAGTTGCAATTTCTTATTCACACAGTATTAGTATTCAACTTTTTAATAAACATATCATTTAATTAAAAAAACACTCATTCATTTTAGTGTACATGAACAAAACAAAATTTTCTGTTAAATATTGTGTTGAGTAAATAGATACCAAATATATCAAGCCTTAAAACTGCATGTGTCATGTAAGAAAAAACATTGATATTGTTTCCGCCTGGTTTCGAACCGGGGACCTTTCGCGTGTGAGGCGAACGTGATAACCACTACACTACGGAAACTCACATAAGATTCACACCTGGGATAGCCGGGGAGTTTTTGCATTTTACTATATTTCTAAAACACTGTATCTTTAGGTTTCTCTCTTAGGTTTTTCATTAAACATAGAGTATTATTTTCATATTAGTTATTTAACTTGTTACAAGTGCAGCCAGGTATCTCCTTGGATTGTACTGCAAGGAGCTGGAGAATAAAAAATGTGAAAGTTACTTTAAGGATGGGTCAGCAAGCCATTGACCTGGATATGTAGACTGCGGGGAGCCAACAGGTGGATCATGACTCTGCCTTCCCCCAACCATGTCTCTGCAGAGCAGAGAGCGGAAGGCAGCACAGTGCTGGATGGGTGAAGGTGGCAGAGGACACTACTTTGGGGGGTACAGGACACTACTGTGGGTCGGGGGGGCAGAGGACACTACAGTAGGGTGGGGGTGATATGAAGGGGGTAGAGGACACTATTTTGGGGGTACAAGACACTACTGTGGGTGGAGGGGGCAGGGGACAATACAGTGGGGTGGGGTGATATGAAGGGGGTAGAGGACACTACTTTGGGGGGTACAGGACACTACTGAGGGGGGAGGGAGGCAGTGGACACTACAGTGTGTGTGTGTGTGGGGGGGGGGGCAGGGGGGTGATGTGAAAGGGACAGAGGACACTGCTTTGGAGGGGTACAGGACTCTACTGTGGGAGGAAGGAGGCAGAGGACACTACAGTGGGTGGGTGATGTGAAGGAGGCAGAGGACAAAGCAGGGGGGTGTACAGGACACTATTTTGGGTGGAGACGGCAGGGGACAATACAGTGGGGTGGGGGGTGATATGAAGGGGGTAGAGGACACTACTTTGGGGGGTACAGGACACTACTGAGGGGGGAGGGAGGCAGAGGACACTACAGTGTGTGTGTGTGTGGGGGGGGTGATGTGAAGGGGGCAGAGGACACTGCATGGAGGGGTATAGGACACAACTGTGGGTGGAGGGGGCAGAGAACACTACAGTGGAGGAGGTGATGTGAAGAGGCAGAGGACATTGTGTTGAGGGCAGGGGCGGACTGACACTCATGGGGCCCCCGGCAACAGGGGATCATGGAGCCCTTGTGTCCTTGCCCAAACTCAAAAAAGCCTATGAAAAAGGTACCAGGGGCATCTCATGGGGCCCCCTACTGACCCCGGGCCCTCAGGCAGTGCCCAAGTTTCCAAATGGTCAGTCCGCCCCTGGTTGAGGGGGTGCAGAACACTACTGTGGGGGGATGGGGGCAGAGGACACTGCTGTGACACACTATGTGTTCTTCATGTCTTTTTATTGGGAGCTTCATTTGTTTTTTTTGTTTTTTTTTTTGCCGCCGAGTACACCCCCCTCCTTCCTCTCCAGGGATCTTTGCTTTCCTCCATGTTGTCCAAGAAGATCTCAACCTCTGAAAGGTTGCCTACCCCTGCTTTAAGGCAGTATACTAATAAGCATTACAAATTTACTTTATTTTTATTTTCAAGCCATTTAGAAAATGTTTTACACACACACACACACACACTTTGTTCCTCTGTCCATTGCTTTTAAATGTCACCTGTTTATGCATTCTTTCCAAACTCTTACCATCTTACCAGATTTATAAATTAGGAAAAAAATTTTTTCGGGAGATAACAATTTCCAATTTTTTTCTACTTTGTATCAGCAAAACAAAATGATTGTCTGTACAAAATTGTGTACAATTATAGAACTAAGGAAATGCATGTAATTGAGAGAAAAGTAGAAGCATGTGGGGAAAACACCAATTGCACAAACTTGTATTCAGAGAAGGTTTTAAGTATGATGTAACTTAAAAAGCCAATGCATTTCAGGGTTTTCAAGAGCTCCCTTCATCAGGGCTAAAAAACTAAATTGTATAGAGGCATTCATAAGCCATTCTTCCATAAAAATGATCAAATTCACCAAAACTGATAAAAGCCATATATTTAGGGAGTCATGGTAAACAATAGAGATAAAAGTACATGAAAAGCTTATATGTTGACATAAAACTGATCCCTTAGAAAATCAATAATGCTGTGCGATGCCATTGTATTGTGTGCACCACGTATTAAACGTTTATTTGCAAAATTATTCTTTTTTTAAATAGATATTTTAAAAAATATTTTAAGTGTTACTAAACTCCGGACCCTGCATTCACTATATCTGGTCTCCCACAGTACACACAAACATGGAAATGCAATTATTTTAGTAACTACAAACTGCTAAATACCTTTTCTCATCAGCAGTTAGAGCAGTCTTGTGACTTCTATCAGTGTCCAGCCGAGCACTGGTTAAAGCTTGTAGGAGGAGCTTTCTTTCTGCTCTAGAAGGATGCAGGACCCCTGACCTCTGTCTGGACAGTGCTGATTGGCCCTGTGCTGTTCACATGCACTCTCCCAAGCAAAAAAATAATCTCTTTAACAATACAAACCAAACTGAGCATGTGCAGAAGGGCTACGGGTTCAGTCTGTCTTGTTGGCGTGGACATTTGAACAAGAGGAGGGGCAGAGAAGTCAGGATCAAACAGCCTTTTTACACAATGCAGAGGATTAACCCTTTAGATTCCACAGTGAGTATAACAAGCATGCTTTACTGCATATACAGACTGATTGTACTGTTGTGGGTTTAGTAACACTTTAAGCATCTATACATTGTTGGCTATTTAGAATATTGTCATTTTAGAGGACATCATAGGATTTCCTATTAGTCCTATTATTTTTTTTTTCCTTTAGATTTAAACAAAACGTCTGAACTTCTGAAAATTTCAAAGACATTGTCTTTGAATTTCCTTTTTCATCAATGTATTGAACAGATGACTGGCAAAAAAATGTAACTAAGGCATGTATTTATAAAGGGTTAAATGACAATTTTCTAACATTTGACCACATTTGCCTGGCATTTATGGCCACATTCACTCTCTTGTATAATAAGGGGAATGTATACCAGACTAACATGGTCAGATTTCACATTTATAGTAAGCTGTCAAAACAGCTTTTCACCCGTCAGATGAATTTGTCAGCTGGAGCTCTCCGTATTGTGGTGTATTTACACTGTTTTAGCACCGGTAGGGTTAAAGTGTATATCCAACCTAAACCTTTTTTTCTTAGTTTTGGATAGAGTGGGGAAGAATTAGAACCCCTGTTAGGTTTCTATTGCAACTGCTTTTTACCAGGGTTCCATTTGAGCGACGTGGATGTGCTGGCAGGCCTGTAGTGATTTATCCACATTACAAACTTTAGTTGCAAAGTAATCGGTTCATTTTTTGAGGTTTCTTTGAGCGTCTTCAGATTCCCCATCCTTTTTTCTATCACCCACTTCCTTCTTCCCACTTCCCCATACCATTGTATTTACGAGGTTCTCTCTCGTGACTTTTGTACCAGAGTATTCATAGCTGTTCTTAGGTACTGTTTGTTTTATGATTACTGCCCATTCGCAGTATCCATAAATCTTAGCTAAAGATACCTTGGGCAAATATTGATATTCTTGGAGTTACTGTAACCATATACACCAGGGGTATTGAATTAAAGTTCAAGGAGGTCTGGTCATTAAAATTTACTTCTAGCTGAGGTCCGAATAGGGTGCGCCAATCAGTGTGCCCCCTTACATTAGGTGTCACCATCAGAGTGCAACTTTACATCATGTATTCCCATCACATCAGGTGTGCCCATCAGAGTGCTCCTTTACATCAGGTATCCCCATCACAGTGCTCTTTTACATCAGTTGTCCCTAACAGAGTGCCCCTTTACACCAGGTATCCCCATCACAACGCCACCTTACATCAGGTATTCCCATCAGAGTGCCTCCTTACACTCAAAACACCCCTTTCTATCATATTTCCCCATCAGAGTGCCTCTTTACATCATATTTCCCCATCAGAGTGCCCCTTTACATCATATTTCCTCATCATTGTGCCCCTTTCCATCACATGTGCCCAGCAGAGTGCCCCTTTCCACAGTATGTGCCCATTTGAGCCCCCTTAACATAAAATGTGCCCCTCCGAGTGCCCCTTAACATAAAATGTGCCCATCAGAGTGTCCCTTAACATAAAATGTGCCCCTCAGAGTGCCCCTTAACATAAAATGTGCCCATCAGAGTGTCCCTTAACATAAAATGTGCCCCTCAGAGTGCCCCTTAACAAAAAATGTGCCCCTCAGAGTGCCCCTTAACCTAAAATGTGCCCATTAGAGTACCCCTTAACATAACATGTGCCCATCAGAGTGCCCCTTTACACCGTATGTACCCATTTGTGCTGCCTTAACATAAAAAAAGGGGCATGCTGATGGGCACATTTATATTAAGTAGCACACTGATTGGCACATGTTATGTTAGGGGCACTCTGATGGGCACATGCTATGTTGTGCCCATCAGAGTGCCCCTTAACATTCAATGTGCCCATCAGAGTGCCTCCTAACATTCAATGTGCCCATCAGAGTGCCCCTTAACATTCAATGTGCCCATCAGAGTGCCCCTTAACATTCAATGTGCCCATCAGAGTGCCCCTGTAAGACTACACCCTACCTTGACAGCAGACAGGAGCTGTGCTGGGATCCTTGCTGGACGCCTGTGTACAGGCAGGGAGTGGGAACCGGAGAGACAAGGAACTGAAAGGGATGGGGCGCACACGTGATGTCATGTTGCAGTGATGACCACCCTGCTCTGCAGCGGATCTGCCATTGTGGGCTGGCGGTCTGAGCGGCAGCACTGCTGGTGCCATTCGCAGACCGCGGTCCGCTATTTAGCGACCACTGATATACACTCATGTATTTTTGTACCTTGAAAAGCTCTTCTTAAGTAAAAAGTTATTTTGACAAAAAATAAAAGCCTATGTCATTCTTCATACTCTACAGATATGTGACTGCAGATGCTATAAACCAGAAAGCAAACACTCCAGTGGTACAGTCTTAATGACACTATATGTAGATGGCTACCCTGGCAGGTAAGTGCTCTCTTTAGCAGCCCTGTGTTGTTTTTCTGCCAGAGCCGGGATCACTAGTTGACATGGCTCTAAGTTGCCTGTGTGAAGTGAAGGAAATAATGCAGTTAGGACCTTCTGGGGTATTGTTAAAACAAAAATCTTAATTTTTGTTTTGTGATAATAAATAATCTGCAACAGACAATATGTACTACTATATTATTAGGAGAAAAGAAAACTGCAAGCCCAACTGCCGTGACCCGGATTCGAACCGGGGTTGCTGCGGCCACAACGCAGAGTACTAACCACTATACGATCACGGCTAGCTGCTTGGCTAGCTGGTTAAAGTCTGGCTGTTTTGGGCTCTTTAAATCCTTTATAATGATGTCATTGCTTCTGTTCTATTAAACACTTGTCATTTCCACACTAAGCCTCAAGTTGTAAAATAAAGTGTACATTTAAAAAGGTAAACTGCCAAAATAACTGAACCCCAGAAGGGGAAATGTATATCTGGGGTTTGTCCAGAGGTTGCTATTGTTGCTTGAGAAGAGAGCAGTGGTAGATAGATCCCCTGCCTACAATGACCACCAATGTATAGGTCATTTCTACACTGACTGTGATGAGCGCGGTGCCCGAAACCCTGCCCCTCTCACCAATTCGTAACAAAGGACCAGCCAATTTCACACCATGCTGTCACTTGCGTAACAATGCCACCCCCAGCTGCACCCTGTACAGAGATTTTCCAGCTCGTGGGACCACAATCTACATGCCAGCAGGCTGGAAGCGATTGTCACTGGGTTAGGTTAATTACGCAGTTTACTCTTTAAACTACCACCACCGCCTTTTTACAGAGAAAGAGGAAACTCACAAATCTTAGCAAAAACACTATGATTTTAGCATAAGCGTCTGCAACACACACTGTCACCACAGACAGGGATATTCAGAGGATTATTGTATACAGTAGCACTCTTCAAGAGACAGGGATTTTTTAGTTTGCATTAAAAGCCTTAGAGATAGTTTTAACACTTTTCAAAATAGGGTTTATTAATGAAAAGTTCAAATGGTGCAATTAAGATATTTACAGAAAGGATGTTACAAAGACATAAAGAGAACAATAATCCAACAGAGAAATAAAAGGAGGTGAAGATGGAGAATACTTGCAAAGTCATTGGTTTTAGCAGAGTCCAACTGTCCAAGCAAAAAGGTTGCCTTGGCTCTCTTGGGAGTTACTTGGTTGATGTTATGATGAGAGCTTGCTTACCAGGTCCTGTCTTCCCCTTTTCTGTGATATCAAAGCGGTGTTGCCAGAGACCATCTGACCAATACTTCAGTTTAAGGGATGGATGCTGGGAGGTCACCATGTTTACGACCAATTCCCAAATACAGTTTTACGCTAATATTAATAACTTCCAATACATGCAGGTGATATTCTAGAAACTGACAGAATATTATTGAGAATTAGATTTTGTATCCAGGGACACCAAACACAGCGTACCTTTGTCACCCAGAAGGGAGGAGACTGCTTTCTTCCCTTTCATCTGTGCTAACATAGTCATGTATGACCTTGATTTGTTTGGTATGATATACCCCATTCAAATATATACCTAATATCAATGTGTCCTGTTCCTGTTGAATTCTATGAATTATATGTGGATTTGTCAAGTTGTGGAATAGATGTTTTATGGCACGCTCTTCAGTCCTAGAACTTCATTGGCCTTATAGGTCATGTGTGAAAGGCTTGACTGAGTTATTATGGTTTTTCAATAGGGCAGAGGGAAGAGTTATTATCATTTATATAGCACCAACAGTTTGCTCAGCGCTTTACAATATAACGGGAGACAATACAGCAACAATACAGTTCAATACAAGAGGGAAAGGAGGGCCCTGCTCCTTGGAGCTTACAATCTAGGAGGGAGGGGCTAGTGGTACAAAAGGTAGTAACTGTGGGGGATGGACTAGTTGGAAGAGTAGAAGATTCCATTATTAGCTGAGGGCAGGATAGGCTTCCTTGAAGAGATAGGTTTTCAGAGATCGCCTAAAAGTGAGCAGAGTAGGCGATAGTCTGATAAATTGGGGTAGAGAGTTCCAGAGGATGGGGGAAGCTCTGGAAAAGTCCTGGAGATGAGCATGGAAGGAGGAGACAAGGGAGCTAGAGACCAGGAGATCTTGCGAGGAGCGGAGAGTACGGTTTGGGTGATATTTGGAGGCAAGATCGGTGATGTAATTTGGGGCAGAGTTATAAATGGCTTTATACATTATTGTTAATATTTTGAATTTTATCCGTTGGGCAATGGGAAGCCAGTGGAGGGATTGGCAGAGAGGGGTGGCAGATACAGAATGGTTAGTAAGGTGGATGAGTCTGGCAGCAGCAATCATGATAGACTGGAGGGGGGATAGCCTGCGATGAGGTAGGCCAATGAGGAGGGAGTTACAATAATCAAGGTGAGATATAACAAGGGAGTGAATAAGTTGCTTAGCGGTTTCCGAGGTTAGGAACGGGCATATCTTGGAGATGTTGTGGAGGTGAAGTCTACATGATTTGGACAGTGATTGGATTTGGGGCTGAAAGGACAGATGGGAGTCTAAGATTACACCTAGTACCCTGGCATGAGGGGAGGGACTGATGATTGTGTTATTGATCTTGATGCAGAAGTCAGGGGAGGGAGCACGGGATGGGGGGAATACTAAGAGCTCCATCTTGGAAAGATTGAGTTTGAGGAAGTGAAGTGACATCCATGCCGATATGTTGCTTAGTAGGTTAGTAATGCGAGAGGAGACTGAAGGGGTAGAGGGGAAGAGTTTTTCATGGTTGTGGAAACAGACATCCTGCCAAGACTAATTAGCTTTTTACAGCTGACATCCAGGCCTGGACTCTGGCGTGTGTTTTAGTTAAGATAAGAGGCTCTTTTGAAGTTTGTTAAAAGTTACAGCTACAAATGCCACAGTTTGCAAGAGGAGGGAGGGAGGAAGGTCACTGCTCATGAAAACAAGACAGCTTGCCAGGAGACAGCTTCTAATAAATGGAGAACTGTATGGGGCTACAAGTCCTGGGAGGATGATGTGTTGGAAAGAGGAAGAAAAGGGAGGGGAAGCCAAGGTTTGGGGCAATCTAAAGTGGGCAGTGAAAGGTAATGATTGGTATGTGCTTCTGAGTTAGAGATACTGCTTTTAGCCAACGTACACTGTGGTGTTGGAGCGGGACTGTGCTGCCACATTTGCTCACACACCCCCTGCTGTTGGAGAGATCCAGCAAGCTGGAAGAAAGGGGCATCACTGGTTTTGTAAGCAATCATTGCTCCAGAGTTCAGAGTTGCTTTGAACACCACAGAATCCACAGAAAACACCCCTTTAATGTCCAGGGTCCTGGAGACCAGAGAATAGTAGGAAGCTTCACAACAAACTGCATAGCGGTAAGAGGCCGCTGACTAGAACCTCATTACCCTCTTCTTAAAGGAACAGCATCATCCTAACTTAGGACATAGTTTAGGGACTTACATCCTTTACTGTAGGATTGCTCCAACGCAAGACTCTGGGCCCCAACATTTAGTACAACACTGGACCAGTGGGAGGGTTTTGGAGAGACTCTAGTCCAGGACTTCTAAGCCTCTAGTTGAGGACCATCTTTGTTAGGATCTCCCCTAGATGTAGGATTCAGTTATCCAGAGGGGATTGGATCCAAACATACTTGGCCCTTGCATTCTCTTGGTTGTATTGTACACATTTGTTTTACTTTGTGACTGTTTATTGCCGTTACCATATTTTTTTGGTGGTGTTGTCTCATTGGGTGTGCATCCCAAATAAATCCCCCTTCTTCAGTCTTGGTGCATCAGAGCCTGTGGCATTGTCATCCGGAATCAGGGGACCCATACACCAGAGGCTCCTTCGAGGTAAGTGATTCTATAGGAAGGCACCCTAGTCACATATTTCCATTTGAAGGCAACAAAGTCCTTAATTCTAGGCCTAACATTGCACTGCATCACTCCTTTTGTCAAATTGGAACCAACAATTTCACACCTTTTCTCCATGTCTAGCAGGATCAATTTATTTGTGTAAAAGATGATTTTTTCTTAGTCTGTAAAATTTTTCTACACTT